TTTCGTCATTGAAATTGTCCCATGCAAAAGGAGCTTTTAGATTCCTCTGATGCCGCCTTCTGTGCTCGCCTCCCGAGGCGCCTCCTGTGCCGCCTCCTAGATCGCCTGAATCAGCAAGGTAAGCGTCTCGGGCTGGTCACGAAAGTTTGTCAGTCCTCTTCTCCAAACTGGTCGGCATTTAGGCCCAGATGTTGTGATGTCTATATTCGACCGACGCATCTCGTTGTTGCATGCGGGTGTAAGTCCGCAATGGACGGATCAGTAAGTCTATTTGCGCGTCAAGTGATTCTCCTTGAGGCATTTTTAATTTCTCTTCGCGTGATTACTCGCGGCGAAGTGTGTGTGGCTGCTACATGCGGTTCGGAAACAAGGTCTACATTAAACCTCGCCCAAGTCGACCAAGCCTTCCTTTCCTGCGCATCAATCTTACACACTTGAGTCGACTAGCCGAAGTCAGAATTCTTCAAGAGGCGCGCAGGATTTGCACATCTAGCTTTAGTTTTAGTAGCAGCAAAAAAGCAGCTTAATTACAAGTCTCGTTCCTGCTGCACGGATGATTGACCGTGTCAGGAAGATGGGTTTGACGCGGTTCTAGTTTCTTCCAGAGCAGATATGGTAGCCCTGTAGCTTCCATAATCGGTTCGGAACAGGCTGGTGTCGCGACAAACCCACCCCTGCCCTGAAACGCCTCCGCATCCGTAGCGAAGATTACTGTACATGAACCTTGTGCGAACTCAAGTATACCCACAGCTTCAATGAAAGTCAATGCACTGCATATCCCGGGAGTTATTCATTCGCAGCTTCACTCCGTTTAGGACCTTTACCTGCAGAAGATGTAATTTTTGCAAATTGTCCTCGTTTCACATCGCAATTGATTCCCTTTACTTGAGAACGACCGACCATGGCGCGTTCTGCATTGATGCGCTAATCTTTCTGGGATGGAGAAAGGGAGCTGCTCCCAAGTGAAAAGGACATATACATATGTTGTGTGTCCTCACCCATTCAATCAAAGTGAATGACCTTTCCAGGCGACGAACTCTTGTTCAAATGCTTTGCTCAAAAATGATCTCACAAGCTGTTCTTTGTCGAAACACTTACCCTCTGGTAAGTCATAGAAGATAGCAATTGGGGAGCTCATGTGCTTGACGGAGAGGAGGGTCAGCACTCCACAACGTCTATGTTTCTCTTCTGCAGCCAAGATTCAAGCTTACAACGCAGACGATGAGAGTTGCGTGGGGACTGTTCGCTCTGCAAGAGTAACCCGCGGCGACTCCGAGCGCTCTGCTAACCCTTGGCTGGGGAAGAGGTGCAAAGACGCTGTGGAGTGGTGCGATCAGTATAATGATGAGACCACTGTAGCTTTCAAGGGGGCTTTTTTCCTGCTTTTTCACCTGTAATGGTTTTCGATGATTTTTTGCATCTTTAGCAGATGTACCATTCATCAAAAACTCTTCGCACAAGAAGACGAGTAAAAGGACACTGGGAGAGCTTGGTAAGTGCTTTTTAGTAGCTTCTCCAATAGGATACGTCATAGTGAAGAGAAAAACTGACCAGAACGACCCTTTCCAACTATTATACTTCCACAGCTGACTGGGCCCCATTAGCCTTAAGACGTCGCCTCATCCACCTCTTATTACAAGCCCCTCACGGAAAGCCAAATATAACTCCCTCCCCAGAATAGGTGGCTGCGCCACTGTGGGGAGGGGGTTGTATTGGACTCCCACTTGCTGAGTATTCCTCAACCACGCCATGCCCTGTCCTCCAAGAAAACGGAGTGATTTTTTTCAGCAAATACCGTTGCTTACTCGCTGCCGATCACGTGTGATAAAGCACTAGAGGAAGGAATAATCGAGTAAGATAAACATATCTTTATCTTACTATCTCTCTCTCTAGATCTTTGAAAAGTATATTTTTAAGGAGAGCTCGCACTTTCAGGCCAAACGTCGTCGAACAGTGTCGGCCTCGGTTGGTAACACCAGAAACGGGTCCCGTGCAGCCTCATGGCGCTACCTATCCAGCCAGCAACCATGACACTGAGACAACAGTAGGATCCGTTTTAACCGTTATCCCAAGTGAAGGGTTCGCCGTCACATCTCCCTCCGACCAGATCTCTCAATCCTACTGGTCTGGTTATGCTGTTGCTAGTCAGCCTGACACTCAGCAAGACTATTCTCAATGGCCCGGATATGCCTTTACTACCAATGCTACACAGTCCGGGATCCAGCAGGACAATTCTCAATGGCTGGGATATGCCTTCCCCAACAATGCTAGTCATTCCGAGACTCAGCAGGACTATTCTCAGTGGCCCGGATATGCCATTCCCCCCAATGCTAGTCAGTCCGAAAATCAGCAGGAGTATCCTCAATGGCCCGAGTATGCCATTCCCAATAATGGTGGCCAGTCTGAAACTGAACCCAATTATTCTCTGTGGCCCGGATATGCCATCTATGGCGGTAGTAATCCAGCTGAGACTCAACAAGAAATCTCGTCACCCACGTACGTTTCCTCGACTCCTGCGATCGACTACACTTATTTTACAACTGTACCATACGATTCCTCCACTACACCTACAACTGCCATTCCACTGACTTCGATGGGCCGACCTGTTGGGCCTTCGTACAATACGCTCAATGGCCAATATCCAGTCGGCTATCAGGAACGGACACGCCGTCCGTATACTATAGGGAAATTCGGAACATGTGAGTTATTGCTTCGCCATCCTTTTGACTCACTTCCAGGGAATTTTTCCTGTATATGTCATGGCAGTGTATGATGAAATGGTAACAAACCCTCCCATATTAGGGCTTCTCCTCTTGTGGGGCTTTGACTAAGGATTTTTTGGCTTCCTTTCCGTTGTGGGCTAAATCGTAACCGGGAGTCTAGAACGGGCGGACAGTCTGTACGAACGTTCTCACTGAGCAGTCTATCAGTGGTAGGTTTGTGAGGAGGTATAATGCAATGTACCTTGTGCGCTATGTGCCTCGGGAGAGGCCAGTCTGAGATGCGCGTCAGCCCCTAATAACCCGCGATTTCGATCGGGGGAGCTCTGGGTTGGGTGAATCTCTTATCACTTCTTGCTTTGCTGCAA